CTTCAGACCAATAGATGGCAGATTATGTTAAAAAAGACAAGTCATGTTAAAAATTTTTCCTGAACTCCTCACTCAAAAAACCAAACTCTCTTCCTGCCTGGGAAACTTTACCATCAAAGCGAGAATATCCAAGCTACCCTTAAGGAACTCATTTAATGCCTGCCGTAGAAAGAGGAACGGTAACGTAAAGATCATAGGATTGCAGGCTGTGGCCTTGCTGATTAGCCAAGATGTTTTCATTCTATGAGCATGGTGCCCCAGAGATCAGAGACGGCAAAAGTTAAAAAAAAAAAAAAAAGCAGTCACACAGTTGCTCTAATTCATCTTCTGTAAATCAGTTGAATAGTATACCCAATAGTGGTATCAATCTGGGTCCAATCAGGAGAGAGAAACTGCAGAGTAATGTGAACAAGAAAAGTTTAATATAAATAATTTTATAAATTCTTTACATAAAATAATTATTTAAAAAATTTAATAATTATATAAATTTAATAAATCATAAACAGATATATGATAGTTATATGTTAGTATATTGATTATATGTATATTTTTTAATGTGTAAAATATAAAATACATAGAAATAAATAATTTAATAAATGATTATAAATTTATTATATAAATAAAATATAAATAAGAGATTGGCTAGTAAGAAGTAAACAGAACTCTACAGAAGACAGACTTAAGGAACAGCCACATCCTCTGGGGATGAGATGGAACACCAATGAATGCCTGCCCCCCCCCACCTCCCCCACCCGCACTGAGCGCCAAACCTTATGGGAGAAGCCACTGCCATGGCTCACCGAATGGCAGGGAAGTAGCTGCGGTGCCAGGATGGCAAAACTTGGAAATTCATCCTCTGGAATTTTGAGGAAATCCACCCTCTAGGGGGCCACAGAAAAGCCGCTCAAGGGGTGGTGCCTCTCTAGAGGCACTCTGCTATGGTTGCCTACCCCCAGGAACCAAACCACAAAATCCTTTCTCCTGCAATGTCTCTCCAGCCTCCCTTACTGACAAAGCTTAACACAGTTCCACCTGGCAAAGGAAGAGTACTTAAAGGGCCCAGCTGCATTTTTACAATTGAGGCAATGAGGAAGAATTTGGAGCTAAGAGTGAATCAAATCAATAACTGGCACACAAGTGATTCTGTAATATCTTCAGGGGCTGATAACACTTGATCATTTCAGGCTGGTAGTGTCCAAATAACAGCCAGTGTGGGCCATCCTGGGTCTGCAAGCTGCCATTTTTCCACTATAGAGCAGAACTTCTGAAAGTGGGGTCCCTTGGTCTGCAATATCGACCTCACCTGGGAAGTTGTGACAAATGCAAATCTCAGGGCCCCACCCCAAACCTACTTACTGAATTAGAAACTCTGGGGTTGGGGCCCAGCAATCTATATTTGAACAAGCCGTCCAAGTGATTCTGATGCATGCTGAGGTTTGAGAACCACTGCTTTTGTAAGACTAAGGTCCAGGAACTTGCTGTGCAAGCTTGAAGGGAAGAGTCAATAGGATTTCTTTGAATCTTAGTCTCAGTTTTTAATCTTGAAGAAGATAACCTAACTGCTCTGGCATCTGGAAGGCAGCAGGGAGCACATTATTACATCTCTACTTTTGCATTGACAACATGTTTCTGGACTCTTGGGCATGACTGCATCAGATATGCTCATTTTGGTAAGAAACTCTGTTTTTGATGTTCTCTTATGTGCAGATCATGCTACTTTGATTAGGGCCCCAAAGCTGCTACTGCAATTTTCATCTCTTTCTGTGCGCACACAGAAGTGGGCAGTAAAACCTATTCTACCTTTCCCATATCCTTGTTTTTTCCTAACTCTCCACCATGGATGGAGTATTGAAAGAACAGCTAGAGCCACAAAGCTAAGGTCAGCATAGCCAGACAGTGGCCCGGAGCTCACGAACTCATCCTTGTTCCTAGCCCCACTGATAAGCTCAGGAGTGGGCTTGCCTCCTCAACTGGGCTGCCACAGCCAGAACAGAAAGCTTCATTTTTCCCTGACACAGCACTCGCCTTTCCAGCCTCCTCAATTTGTTCTCTTCAAACGAGAGAGGGAGAGATGATGTATTCTTGCAGGCGATTTTTCTGCCATTCATCACTTTAAAATTAAAAATGTGTGTGTATGCGTTTGTGTGGTGTGGGGATTGTGGTCTGGCCCCGGTCCCGCCACTAACTAGCTGCATGGGGTTGGCAGGTCACCAGCTCTGGTTTTGATTTCCATACTGAAATATAGAGCGTTGGACCAGCTGATACTACTCCAATATTTTATGGTTCTATGTACTACCAGCATATCCTTATAAGGTAAATCACGGGGCTTGAATCTCACCCTTTAGTGTAACGGTCCGTGCATGAGGTCCTCTTTTAAAAGCTCTCTTCTGAGTTTAATATTAAGCACAGGGAAACCTTCCTATAGCAAATTCATCCTAAAGGGATTGAGGTAATTTATGCACAGAAAGTAAAGACTTCAGCAGATTTGCTCCTTTTCAATATATAAAGAGCATGTACCTTTCTCAATAGATACAATATCCATTAACTGCTTTGATAAGATTAACTATAATGTGAAACTTCACATACAGAAATGGAGCATTGGTGTTCTTTATTTCAGATTCCTGATTTATGTCTCACTGAAAGTAATAAGCAAAAAGATAGTTATTTCCTCCCAAAATGATTTGAATGTTTCCATTTTTAATATCTCTTAAGGTTTTTTTTTGTCTCCAAGATAAAGTCTTTCTCTGACCTATTTTCACATGCTGAAACAGGGAGAAAAGTCAAGGGTAATGATTTGCAATCAGCAAGGACATGCCTCTCTGTGGGGGAGAAGAGGGTATTTCAGAAATTCTTAGAAATGAAGGTTGAAAAATCATATTTAGACTTTTACTCTAAAAAAAGAAATTCCTACTGTTTTGATAACAGTAATTCGGAGTTACAGTAATCTGTTCTTGATAAAACCATAGCCAGGGTGGGTATGCAAAAAAAAATGTGGTGGTAGACACTGTCAGTTTCTTACCTAGTTCCTCCTCCTTCCTTGCTAAAAGAGGCTTTTGTTCCCGTGGCAACATCCGCAGGCAGTGAATCATTATTGGTCCAAATCTATCATGACATCCTTTTCCCAGCCTCCCTTGCAGTGAGAAGTGGCCATGTAAGCCAGTTCTGAGACATACCGGGAGTGCGTTGAGAACACTGTTGGGTGATTTTGGACGGCACGTGGCTGTCTGTGCCTCCCTACGCTTGTCTTCCTGCCTTGATAGCTGACACCATGCCAGGAGCTTCCACTGCCTTCCTGTGACCTCCAGGTGATAGGTCCACAGCCAAGGATGAAAGACCTGGCTTTTTCATGACATTTTTGAGTTGCTGCTAAAGTAAGGGTGTCAGATAAAAGACAGGACACCCAATTAAATTTGAATTTCAGAAAAACAGCAGTTTTAAATATGTAATATTTAAGACTTATAGTTTATCCAAAATTCAAATTTAACCATGTCTTCTAATTTTGACAACCTAAATCTGACAACTCTATGCACAAACCCTGGACTGCCTGTCTTGGATTTTTTTTGTTATGTAAAAAATAACCACCACCAGCACCCAGAGAGTGTAGGGTACTATTAATCAAGTAATATAATGCTTGCATATGAACTCGTTCCTGATATAATAGTTATTTATAAAAAAGTACCTGGGGCTGGCCCTGTGGCGTAGTGGTTAAGTTCAGCGCACTTTGCTTTGGCAGCCTGGGTTCATATCCCAGGTGCAGACCTACACCACTTGTCAGCCATGCTGCGGTGGCCACCCACATATAAAGTGGATGAAGACTGGCTTAGATGTTAGCTCAGGGCTAATCTTCCTCAAGCAAAAAGAAGAGGAAGATTGGCAACAGATGTTAGCTCAGGGCCTATTTTCCTCAGCAAAAAAAAGTGCCTAACATTTCTTGTGTGTTCATCATGTGCCAGACACTGTGCTAGTTAGCAGGGATGTTTTTGTAACTAAGTCACAGAGGCAGGTCCTGCCTTCCTAGAGTTTGTCGTCTAGCTGGAGAGACAGCCACTAAACAACTGCTTCTGTGAGTGGCAGTATGATTTCAATTATTCCGATTCCAATTATGATCAGTGCTCTGAAGGAAAAGTAGGGGAGCTTAGAGAGCACCTATGCAGGGGATCAGAGGTGGGATCTTAGGGGCGATCTGAAGAGAATGCTTGTGGAAGTTTGCAGCAAGCACTGGGAGCAGCACGTGTGGCCGCCCTGAGGCAGGAAGGGTCCTGGTACATTTGAGGAGAGGGGCCCCAGTGGCTGAACAGCCACGGATTGGGTGATGGGAAATGAGGTGGAGAGGCACACAGAAGCTAGATCAGGGAACACCTTGGAAGTTCTATTAAGACTTTTGACTTTATTCTTACTCTACACTACCCACCTATATTAAATAACTGTTGATATCCCCATCTTAAAAAAGAGGAAATCAGGACTTTAAATAGCTTGATCAAAGTCATATAGCTATTAAATGGATGAACTGTGATTTGAGCCAGGGTTGGTTGGTTTGTTTCTTTGTTTGGTGTGTGACCAAAAAACCCCCTAATCATCACTGAGTGCAAGCTAGTTAGAAATACAGAAATAACGGGAGATGATCAAATGAGTCTGGGGAGAATGTTTAAAATTAACGTAACAACATATTTTATATCTGTAAGGATTGAGAGGGGTGTGAGCTATCCATGTTATTAGTAAACACAAAGTTGATCAGGACCGTAGATAACTTAAATCCTAGCATCGAAAGAGGCCTCAAAAAATTAACAATTTAGATCTCCTGCCTGTGCTTTTCAACGCAGGTTCCCCTGTATTACATATCATTGAGGTAACTTATTTCTGTGACTTTAGACCATTGGTTTGACAAGAACAAAACACAGGAAAACACCTCTATTTGTGACAAAGTCTCAACAATGATCCAGTGGTTTTAGACACACACACAAAACAACAACAGCCACAACAACAACACATAAAAAAGATACTGCAGTAAATTGTTGATTTATTCAATGTGACTGCTACTTCTGATAATGCCATTATCTGCAGGAGGTAGGCATTGGTATGGGATGGTAACCAATATTTTAAAGAAAAGCTAAAAATAGAAAAATATCAGGGTGTATCATATATAAGGTAAGTGTTTTGTGATACTTGATACGTGTGTGTATATATACACATACACACACACATATATACATATATATACATATAGACACACCCATACAAATATACACACAATAGATTATATATATACTGGATTGTGATATAAATCACTTCTTACTCTGGGTCCCATTTAGAAAACTCTGACAGTCATTGGGCTAGAGAAACTGACTCACTGTGAGCTATGCTATATCTTGCACTCCATGGAGTGAGAACAACTCATTAAGGTAAGTTCCTGTCCGCCGTCATGGATGAATATGTCCTGTTCCACAAGTTGGTAGAATCATGTGTGACAGAATAAACAAACAAAACAACAGCCGTCATTGTACCCATGTACATATTGTATCCTGGGGAAGGTTCTTGATTTTATTCCTTCGAGTTTCCTAATTCACCCCAGGAAGGATTTGGTGCATTCCATCTTTATGCTGTTTCTTGCAGACCTTGGGAATAAAGATAAATAGAAAGGAAATTAATGGAGAATTCTGATTACAGGGATTCTGGAGCCAGAAATGCTGGTTTTCCATAAGAACTAAATAGATCCCAAGTCTCTTTATTTATTTTTTTAATGAGTGAAGCATTTTTTTTTCCCTTAAAGATTGGCCCTGAGCTAACATCTGTTGCCAATCTTTTTTTGTACTTTTGTTTTTTTCCTCTTCTCCTCAAAGCCCTCCAGTACATAGTTGTATATTCTAGTTCTACTATGTGGGACACCACCTCAGCATGGCTTGACAAGTTGTGGTAGGTCTGTGCCCAGGATCCGAACCAGTGAAACCCTGGGCTGGGAACGAACCTCACCACTCGGCCAGGGGGGCTTGCCCCAGAGTCCACGTCTTATTCTTTTAATGCTTGCATTAAATTTAAGCCTCTCTTAAGTTATCAGATATCCAATATCATTTTCAACTTGTATAATAATCCTTGGCTTCAAGGAATGAAATAGTTTCAGATCTAGAAGAATATCACAAAGGGTGAATAGCTGCAGTAGAATTCTTGGGGTGTTATCCTTGATTTGAGGAAAGAAGTATTTTTACCTTGAGTCTTTTTTCTTAAACTAAGGAAGGCTAGCTGAATATTTGGAGACTTTGGCTTAGAAACTCAGTGAGAAACCTACCACGTTCTTATTACACAGATCATGCTGGAGAAATCCACATATTTTTGCATAGCATTTCATCTTTGAAGAATGTAAAATGTAAAAATGGTTATACTTTTTGACCAAGCAAGTGCCACCCCTGAAAATTTTTATAATAATCAAGAAGAATAAAGCAGCAATATGTGCAGATATTTTTACAGCATGTTTTTGCCAATGTGAAAAACTTGTGATAACACTTAAATATCCAACAACTGGGAGATAGTTCAATAATCTTGTTAATTTGAACTATCATACTAGATAATTACACTACTGTTACTTTATAATTGGAAATTATATTTTAAATTCAATATAGAAAAATACCAAAAAGAAAAATATAAACATTTGATTATTAAATTTTTATTTTGCCATTTCTTATTCCTTTGATTTAAAACAAGATGTGACATGTTTCTTCTGCACTAAGATATCAGTGTCAAGTCTTATAATTTACTTTCAGTGAGCAAAACAGAACTCTGCCTTGAATCCTTTAACTAGGAGAGCTATTTAGTTTTACTCAGTTTCATTATATAATGGACTTTAAACCTTCTTTTTTTTCAAAGATTGGCCCTGAGCTAACATTCATTGCCAATCTTTTTTTTTTTTTCCATTTTTCTTCTTCTTCTCCCCAAAGTCCCCCCAGCACATAGCTGGATATTCTAGTTGTAGGTCCTTCTAGTTGTGCTACGTGGTATGCCGCCTCAGCGTGGCTTGATGAGTGGTGCTAGGCCGGCACCCAGGGTCCGAACAGGTGAAACTCTGGGCTGCTGAAGTGGAGCGCATGAACTTAACCTCTCGGCCACAGGGCCAGCCCATAAACCTTCTTAAATATTAAATACTAATTTAAAAACAGAAAAAAGCATGGCAGTTAGTATGTAAACCAAGTAACCACATAAAAGAGACTGTCGTGGGGGCTGGCCCCGTGGCTGAGTGGTTAAGTTCGCGTGCTCCGCTGCAGGCGGCCCAGTGTTTCGTTGGTTTGAATCCTGGGCGCGGACACGGCACTGCTCATCAAACCACGCTGAGGCAGCGTCCCACATGCCACAACTAGAAGGACCCAAAACGAAGAATATATAACTATGCACCAGGGGGCTTTGGGGAAAAAAAAGGAAAAATAAAATTAAAAAAAAAAAAAAAAGAGACTGTCATGAATAGCAAGAACACTGGACGTATACTCACTAACGTGTTAGCATGGCAGATTGGTAGCAATATAGATGATGATTTTCTCACTTTTGCTTTTACATTAAACCTTTTAAAAAATAATTAATACGTTTTATAAAGAGATGGAAGTAAACATTTTTCAAGGGAGTTTGAATGTTCCTGGTGTCCAGACTGCCTTGTTATAGTGAGAACAGGTAATGATCAGTTTTGCCTCAAAGTCTGGATTTAAATAAGGATTGAATTAAATATCTAACTTCATATCCTTACTCTCCTGGGTCATCTATTGTTTCATTAATAATTAAATTCAATCTCTGTTGTTTCCTTTTCATTATCATTGCTTTATCACAATTATGATTTTATATGCTTAAAATGGAAAATCAGATAAGCAGGTTTATGAGATGTTATGAGAAGCCTGAAGAGCAGTCAGTTGAAACTCTGAAAGGTCTCAGTGCCAGCTCAGTGCCAAACTGAGGGTCAACCAGGCTATGCTGAGGACCCACCAGGCTGGCTGTGCCAGGGCCCAGTGGTTGGAAGAGCTGGGAAAGGTGGTGGGTTACCACTACAGATAACATGGTAACTTATCTATGCAACTGGAAAAAAAACTAACACAGATCTTGGTGGTAGGAAAAGCTGAACTGCTCTTGAATCTATCACTTCTAACATTTGTTATTCTTTTTTAACTTTATCCAATATTTAGAAAACAAGCAAGATAGCCTTAAAAGGTAGAGTTGAATACTTCCTTACAAACCTCTGGGCTGTAGGCCAGGAAAGAGGGTGTCACACACATGGAAATGTACTGTCTTGTGGGCTCTCAGCGCCCGTCAAAACCTGCCAGCTATTCTTGGGCCTTGGACCAGATGGTGGGAGCTGGCATTAGGTATGGAATTAGGGGCAATGTGCCTGAGCTACATAATCAAGGCTCCTTTCATTTTATCAGCAGGTAGATCATGTGGCCACACTCCAGTGTATGAGTTAGTCACTAAAGGAGAATTGGACCTGAGCACTGGCCATTAACGAAAGGATGGGAAGGTGTATGTGTCCAGTGGCTGAAATGCCCCTGGAAGTATCTCATTAGGGCCAGAAATGGAGCCAGTAACTCTCAGCGAAGTGGCTCTGGTTCAGGTACTATCATTTATGAAGGCTGAGCCCCTCCCTTCACCCTACACTCTCTATACCCACTCATGCCAGTGTCCTGAGTGTCATTACAGAAGGCCTGCCTTTCACCTAAGTAACAGGCCGCAGGCGTAGGCAGGCACACCTAGCAAGGATTTTCAGTTCCACTTATAAGAAGAAATTTGAAAATGGTCCTGAAATTTCATCAGATGGGTTCATGCCTACATGAAGGACTGATCTCGAAATTGGGAGTGTGTAGGATCGCTGGGCTGCCTGGCTGGGCTCAGTCCCCTAATCAGATAGGAATTTACTGAGGACATAGGAAAGCTAATTCTTATTGAAAAATGATGACATTTGGACCAGGGTAGTTGCTCCTCACCAAAAAAACATGTAATATACTTCACTGCTGAAGTGACTCATACTAACTTCTCTTGAGCCAGATGATGACTGCATTTTGCATGTACTAGCCATGAGAACACTTTTAGTTCAAACATAGCAGCAGCTGGATCAATAGTTTTGTTCTCCTAGCATGCATTGTCATCCTGCTTCCTCTGGTTCCTACCTCCTGCCCTGCTTTCCCTTTGGGGAATTTCTCCTCTTAAATCAGGAGTCCTCAGGAGAGGTATTCAGTTACAGGATAAGTACATGATCCAGCCCTAGCCAATCAGAGTAAGCCATCTCCCTGGCCACAGTGATTGGTTTAGCAAAAGTCATGTGACCCAAGCAGGACCAAGGTCTCCCCTGGGACTTTTCAGCTGGGCTAAGATGGAAAACTGCATTTTAAAAAACTGTTTAAAATAAAGAATCTTAAACATATGCAAAAGTAGTGAGAGATACACAAATGCCTATACCCAACATCCTGCTCCAATATTTATCAACTCATGGACAATCTTGAAAAAGGATAAACTGTCTTTTTCCACTGAGGCTGTTGGACTGAGGAGAATGGTGCTACCAAGAGACACCATGTCTATCAATGGAGAGAACCTGACGTCAAAATAAACCTACACAGAAAGTGGAATTGAGGCAGAGCCCAGAGGACTCCACCTGAGCTGCTTAATCCGGCTGAGCCGGAAGCCACTGCCACTGCTATAGTTCCTTCTGCTTAAGCCAGATTTAGGAGGATTTCTGTCACTTGCAAAATGTGTCACCTAACATGAAAACCTTAAAGGAACACTCAATAAATAATTTTTAAAATCCTGTGTTTATTTTTGAAGTATTTGGGAAATATAAATTCAGGGAAAATCTTTAAGAGGAACAAAGAAGGAGAGCTCTAGACATATGAAAACAAGACCACCAGCAACTCTACTTCACTCTGCCCAAAGGATAATTTCAGTCCCACTGAAATAACAGCCATCTACTAAAAAATTTAAACCAAATACCACAAATATCAGTAAGAGATGCAACAAAGGGGGAATATTTTCACCCTTAAAAACTCACAGACAGGGGCAGGCCCCATGGCCGAGTGGTTAAGTTCACGTTCCACTTCGGAAGCCTGGGGTTTGCTGGTTCAGATCCTATGCACTGCTCATCAAGCCTTGCTGTGGCGGCATCCCACATAGAAGAACTAGAACGACTCAGAACTAGGATATACAACTATGTGCTGGGGCTTTGGGGAGGGAAAAAAAAAAAGAGGAAGATTGGCAACAGATGTTAGCTCACAGCCAGTCTTCCTCACCAAAAAGCATACCTCAAAAAAAAAAAAAAGGAATGCACATATGCACAGAATTTAAAAAACAAAAACACCTCACAGACAAAATAATCAAGTCCCCAAACCCATTCAGATTCTCTGATTCTGAATTATCTTCAAAGCAATGAATGAATGGATACAACTGCTCCGCCATTAGCATTCTGGTATGCCGTTCTTGGGTAAGTCATGAACCAGTTTCCTGGCTGTTCCCTCACCATCCACTTGGATAGGACAATACTCACCCTTTCGCTTTGCTAGTTCTTGTATTACATCTTCATACACTTGTGAAAAGACGTCCTCTTCAGATTTTGTTCCATCTAGGTAAACTGAGAAGGGCAAAAGAGAGCAGGTCAAATGCTAAGAGGCTTATATTAGTAAAGGATGCTGACTCTGGCACCTGACATCTCTTGAGAATACCAAGAGGTTTAACCAAAGAACCCAGCAACCTAACTTAGAAATAAATTAATAGCCATCAGAGAGAAACAGATCACAGCTAGGTACAATAGGTAAAAAATTTTGGTTTATTACAGAGAAATTCACACCAGCTCAAGTGAAAATCATTAAAGAAAAAAGAAAGAATCAGTTAAGTGGCATTGTGCATATGACACTTTAGGAGCACTGAAGAGGTGTCTTCCCAAAAGAATCATTTAAGGGAGTAGTTCTCCAACTTATGCATCAGAATCACTTGTGAAAATTCTTAAACCATGCTGGGGTCTGGGTTCCGCCTCATGCACTGAATTCGAGTTCTCCATGCCCAGGAGATAAGTTTTTTAACAAAACCGGCAGAGTCAGTTTTGGAGAAAAGGTAGAAGTTATATAGGTTAAAGGAAAGAAAGGGCCTTCTAGTCAGAAAACTGCAAAGGCAGGGAGGGAGCAGAGAACGTTGCCTGTTGAGGAAAGGATGCACAGTTTGGAAAAGCTAGAATGAGGAGAGGCAGGAACAGTGCAGAGATGAGATTTTAGAGCAAGGCTGTGCTCTCGTCTTTAGAGGTCTTGATATCTGGTTGTTTGGATTTGATCCTGAAGAGCTGGAGATTCTTTGAAGGTATTTAAGCACGGTAAGAGCATGGTTAGATTTGCATTTTAGATGGAGGGGGAGAGAGAGGCAGTAAGAAGAGGACGTCCCTGCAACCAGTCGTCCAAATTGGAAGTGCTGCAGCAAGAATGTCAGCAGCAGCTCTGGGGACGGGGAGGAGGGGATGAACTGGACTGAAGACGGGATCATAACAGCTGCCAAAGCGTGAGGAGGCCCCGTGTGCTTTCTGCACGCTCTCATGGAGCTACCACAGAGGCCATGAGGCTTCTCACAATACGATCAATTCCTTTTATTCTGAAAAGTATGCATCAGTTCTGATTCCTCTGCCTCCATCCAAAGGCCTTCTCTCTCCGGCCTCCTATATCCTCTCCGTGTTGAGCTCTGGATCCCAGCAATCCGTTCTTAGCCCAGATCCATAGAACCAGGCATCTCGACCTCATTATGTGCAAAATGGAGCTGCATTCCTCCCTTCCAAATCTGCAACTCCTTCACTTTTTTCTGTTTTCCAGAATAACACTTGCCAGTTCCCAAGGTGTTGTCCTTGACACCTCAATTTCCTGCACCCTCCATATCTATTCTATCACTCAGTTCTAATGACTACATATGACTAATATCGCACCCTCTACATCCACCCTCCACACAGCCAGAAGGAGCTTACTAAAACAAGAATTTTGATATCAACAATGTCCTTGCTTAAAACCTCTTTGTAGAGGGTGTCCCACTTCTCTTAGGATAAGAACCTAAGTCCTTAAGTGGTCAGCGGCCATGTAGGGTTTGGACCCTTCCCGTATCACAATTGGCATCACTTCTTGCCTTTGGTTTTCTCTACCATAAATACACCAACCTTCTTTCACATGCTGCTCATTCCTTCCTGGCCCCTGGCCTTTTCATGTGCCATACCTACTTTATGGAGTGATCTTCTATCCCCCCAACCCACCTCCTTTTGTCCAGGTAAACGCACCAGAGTGTGGTTTAAATCTGGCTTCCTCAAGGAAGCCTTCCCTGATTGCTGGGACTTGGGCAGTCCCCTGGAGCTCTGTGTCACAGTCAGCCCAGCTAGAAGGACAAACTTGTGCAGCTAGTGTGTTTGTCTGTTTTCCTGACAGAATGTTGACTCATAAGAGCAGGGACTGGGTCTGCCTTATTTCCCTTGATATCATCAGGGCAATACCAGCACATGGAAGGTATTCAATCCATATTTGTTGAATGAATGACCGTCTAGAAGGTGACAAGTGTCATAGAGAGAGAAACAGAAACCAGGAAGGCCAGTTGTGGAAGAGGGGGAGTCCAGCGTGTTCTGGCTTAAAGTGTCCTTTATAATCTAATACATGAGAAAATGCCTTCCAAAGTCCTTTCTTTCTTTCTTTCTTTTTTTTTTTTTGTGAAGATTAGCCCTGAGCTAACATCTGTTGCTAATCTTCCTTGTTTTTGGCTTGAGGAAAATTAGCCCTGAGCTAACATCCGCTGCCAATCTTCCTTGTTGTTGGCTTGAGGAAAATTAGCACTGAGCTAACATCTGTGCCAATCTCCCTCTATTTTTTTGTATGTGGGAGGCCTCCACAGCATGGCCAGTGAGTGGAGTAGGTCCACGCCTGGGATTCAAATCCATGAATCCAGGCCACCGAAGCGGAACATGTGGCAATTTAACCACTTGGCTATGGGACCAGATGTAAAGCCCTTTCTTTTGTGTACTTTGAGGCAATGACAAATAAAAGGCCTTCCGTGGAGGGAGAAAAAGGTACTTACCAATTTGCCACGTGATGTCCTGTATCTCTTGTCTGTGCTTTAGATACATGGGCCACACATGGCCATCAAAGTACCCTGGGGGGTCTGGAGGCTCGTAGACCCTTGTACTATCAAAATACGTAGGAAATGTTAGGTTGATGGAAATGCACAATTGATAAAGTAAAACGATGGTCAGGATAATGGGGAAATCATGCAGAGATTGAATCTAAACAGGATTAAGACTACACATTTTAGACTCAAAGCCAGGCACAAAGACAATTCAACGGATTTAGTTCTCTAATCTACAAATTACCTTTGTAATTCACTGACTATCACTCATATTATCTTTTTCCCCCTCTAGCACTTTACGAAAGAATTAAGAGACAAATATCAGTGTAAACAATGTTAGAGACACTGATATGTTGGATAAAGCTTTAAACTAACTGGTGTTCTTTGTGGCTGTAACAGAATACAGGCTCACTAATTTAAAATCATAATCAACAAGGGATTGCTTCATATGAAGATTTAGGGAGATGAGCCAAATAGCTTGTCTAAAGGCCTTTTCTTAGAAAAGCAGTTTGTGTTTCTCCATGTTGATGACCATTTATAGAAAAAGGTTTTGCTCTTTGTGTAAAGAGTTGAGGCTCCCCAGGTCTGAAAAATGACACATATACATTGCTCAATGAGGCTGTTTACTCATTTTTCCTAAATTTTGTCTTTTGAATTACAATCCACAAAGGCAATTTCAAAACTTACCTCCTCCTCCTCTTACATTCTTCATATGGAATGGTCAGAAAATAGCTTCTGTTCCATATACTGTCAAGGGGCCTAAAATAATAGCATATTTAGTTCATAAGGTTTTTTCCCCATTTATTCAGGGTCAATATCAGAGTGAGGAACGCTTACTTGTAATTAAAGAGAAGGAAACCTTCGATGATTAATACGGGAATTTCCTCAGAGCTTCTACAGTCTGCTGATGCCAGAGAGTGTTTCGAGCTTTCCATCCAGCAGGAAATGGCAGACATCATTTTTTCCATGTTAAGCGCTTCAAGCACTTCAGACAAACATACAAAAATAAGAAATCAATACAACAAAAATTTTATGATGCAGCTTTTTATGACGAGTATATCCAGGGGTCTATAAATGTATAAAATAACACTTTATTTACCCTTCAAAACACCTAATAACAAATATTTTAGATAAATTTAAACTCTAATATTGATAAATTGGTATGTTTGAGACATTTTATTATGGAGAATTCTAAACATATACAAAAGTAGAGAGTGGAGTATAATGAACTCCCATGTCTCCATTATCAACTTTGAGAACCACAAACTCATGGCTAATCTTGCTTTACTTATAACTTCTACTCCCTCCTGACATTTTCACATTTTTGGATGACAAAATATCTATAAATAAGTTTAAAGGATAAATGATACACTGGGAAAATATGTGCAATGTTTTGGCAAAGAACTAATATCTTTAATATACAAAGAGCTTTTACAGATAAATAAGAGGAGGAACAATCATAAAAAGAATTTACAAAGGATACGAATATGCCATCTTCAAACTCTAAAATGTGCATACTTTTAGAGCTTACAATTGTAATTCTAGAAAAGCATCCTACAACACTGATTCTCAAAGTGTGGTACCTAGACCAGCAGCAGCAACATCTGAGAACTTATCGGAAAGCAAACTCTCAGCCCTACTCCAGAACTACTGAATCCAGCCAGCCAGGCTTAAAGGATTTTTAGCGGAAGGTTTTAAAATGATTGATTAATTCATTTAATAGACACAGAGCTATTAAGATTTTTTCTTTGTTCTGGTTGTTTAGGTTAGCTGCATTTTTCCAGGAAATTGTCAATTTAAATTTCCAAATTTATTTGCATAAAATTGTTCATAATATCCTCTTATCTTTTTAATGTCTGTAGAATCTGTAGTGATATTACCTGTTTTGTTTTTGATATTTGTAATTTGTGTCTTAATTTTTTTCTTGATCCATCTTGTTTTATCTGTTTGGGGATCACTCAGATTCTTGAATCTGTAGGTTTATGCCTTATGCCAAATTTGAGATGTTTTACACCATTACTTCTTTGAATACTTTTTCAGCACCACATTCTTTTTCCCCTCCTTCTGAGACTCCAATAATAAGAATGTTAGATCTTTTGTTATTGCCCCACATTTCTGTTCATTTCTTTTCAGTCTATTTTCTCTCTGTTGTTCAGATTGAGTAATTTCTATTGTTCTGTCTTCAAGTTCACTGATTCTTTCTTCTGTTGTATTTCTTCTGCTGTTTGGCCCATCCACTGAATTTTAAAATTTCAGTTATTGTATGTTTTCAGCTCTAAAATTTCTATTTGGTCCTTTTTTACATCTTCTATTTTTTTTATTGAGGCTTCTAGTTTTTCACTCGACTCAAGAATGTTCACAATTGCTTGTTGAAGCCTTTCTATGAATGCTTCTTTAAAATCCTTGCCAGAGAATTCCAACATTTGTGTCATCACGGTGTCAGAGCCTGTTGGTTGTCTTTTATCATTCAAGTTGACAGTTGCCTGGTTCTTGATATGACAGGTGATTTTCAGTCTCATCCAGGAAATTTTGAGTATTATGTTGTGAGGCTCTGGATCCTACTTAACCTTCTTTTTTGCAGGCAGTCACCCTGTTCAAGTGTAGTGTGCAGGTCCAGGTTGGGGTGGATGTTCAGCTCCCTGCTGGGCCTCATCTGTACTGGAGTGGGAGAAATGGCAGAAAGCAGAGTGCTGGTGTGGCTTCATTGTGGCTCAGTGAAGATAGAGGTTCAGCTCTGTACTGAATCCTGCTGACAGTAAGTGACACTACCCAGGTGAGGAAAGTAGAGCACCAACTCGCCCTACCTCACATTGCTGCATTCTGCCTCTTTGCTGCCAGGTGGGTGTGAAAGTTCAGTTCCCTGTTTGGCTCCAATGATATGACCCCTGTGGATGACGTGGAGGGCCAACTCACCTTACCTTGCTGGTGCCAGATGGGTCCAGCAGTCTAGCTCCCCACTTGGCCCTATTACCACCATGAGGGGAGGGTGGTGTTTCCTTTTGTGTTTGGTTAGAGTAGGGTAGATATTACCAAAATGATTTTCTATTCTGCTAGGCCACCTTTTTTCTAGTCCTTTGACTATAGAGAACAGGTTTCTTGGAAGTTTTCATGTGTACCTAAGGGTTCCATGTTGCACACTGCTCTGGCATGCCTTCCCAGATAAATGAGAAGCAAAAAGAAAGCCCAGAGAACTCACAGCTATGTCATTCCTCAAGTTCCAAAGTCTCTAGTCAGTCTACTCTCTTCTTTTCATCTTCCAGAGTCTTCCTTCTTTGTTGTAGTCCATCCAGGGCTTTTAGTTATAAGAGGAAGGAATAGTGAGGAATGAGGCCAATCCATCTTGGCTGGAACCAGAAGTACCATTAGTTTTAATATATTTCCATTATCACTCAGTTAAAAATATTTTCTAATTTTCATTGTGATTAATTCTTTCACCTATGGGATATATAGAAGTGTTTTGCTTCAGATCAAATGCAATGATGTTTAGGATTTGCTTCAAAATAATATAGAAGGAGAAAGTGGGTGGGGGTACAGATGAAATGTAATTGGCTAAGAATTCATCATTTTTTTTTTTTTTTAAAGATTTTTTTATTTTTTCCTTTTTCTCCCCAAAGCCCCCCCGGTACATAGTTGTGTATTCTTCGTTGTGGGTTCTTCTAGTTGTGGCATGTGGGACGCTGCCTCAGCGTGGTCTGATGAGCAGTGCCATGTCCGCGCCCAGGATTCGAACTAACGAAACACTGGGCCACCTGCAGTGGAGTGCGCGAACTTAACCACTCGGCCACGGGGCCAGCCCCAAGAATTCATCATTTTTAAAGCTGTTTAGTGAACTCGTGAGAATTCATTATACTTTTCTGCCTACTTTTGTACATGTTTAAAATTTTCCATAAGAAACAGTTTTTAAAAATCAGAAAGAAAGAAACATTAATTTTCAAACACTTGGGAATTTTGTACTCACTCTTTTATTACTGATTTCTAATTCAGTTTTCTGTGATTAGAGGATATCCCTGTATCATTCAATCCATTGAAATGTATCAGGACTTGCTCCATGTCCTTGCGTTTGTCTTCCATTTTGGTCAATGTTCCACGTTTTTGAGGAAAACGTGTGTTCGGCTGTTGTTGGGTATGTGTTCTATATATGTTAGTTTGGTCAAGTCTGTTAATTGTGTTGTTCAAATCTCTTATACCCTGATAAGTTTTGTTAGCTTGTTCCATTAGTTACTGAGTATTAAAATCTCCCACAATAATTACAGATTTGTCTATTTCTCCTCTTAGTTTTGTCAGTTTTTGCATAATGGCTTTTCAGGTCATGTTAATAGATGCAGACAAATTTTAGATTGTTTTGTCTTCCTGTTTAATTGATCCATTTATCTCTATCTCTAGTAATACCCTTTGCCTTAAAGTTTACTTTGTCTAATATTAGTATAGTTACATCAATTTTCTTTCAGTAGCTGTTTGCATAGTAAATCCTTTTCTATCCCTTTTATTGTCTACTTTTCTATATCCTAATATTTAAGTCTATCTCTTAGAAGGAGCTTTTTTTTGGTCCAAAAATCCAGTTTGACAATCCTTGGAGTATTTTATTTCATTTAACTTAACGTAGCTACTGATATATTTGATTTAAATCTATCCGCTTACTATCATTTTTTATTTTTCCACCATCCTCTGATTTTTTTAGTTCTCTGCTTTTTACTTCTTTTGTATTTATCAACTGTATTTTAATGATTCCATCTATTTATAAACTTGATAGCTACACATTTTTAAACTATTCTTTTGGTGGTTATCATAAGGATTTCAACATTACTTTGGCTTACTTTAAATTTATACATTTACCTAAAAAGTTTAGATTTTTCCTTAAGATAGATTCCTGAAAGTGGGACACTTGAACACATGGCATGAACATTTTAAGGTCTATGGGCCTTATGCTCAGTCTCCTTTCCAGAAAGGTTGTACCAATTTATACTCCCATCCATGACAGTTTTTGTTTTATTGAGCCTGAGCCATCATTAGATAATTATCATTGCTTTAAAAATCTATTTATTAGGTAAATGGGAAAAAAAGTAAGTTATAATTCTTTGACTACTTCTAAGGTTGACTTTTTATTGTATATTGATTAATCAAATAAGCTTTTGCTTCAGTGAATAACTTATATCATTGGACATGTTTCAGTTGGGATATTAGTGTTTTTCTTATCAGTTTGTAAGAACTCATTTAAAGTAGGATTCTTTTTTTTTCAATGCTTTTTTTGGTGAGGAAGATTGGCCCTGAGCTAACATCTGCTGCCATTCTTCCTCTCTTTTTTTTTTTTTCCTCCCCAAAGCCCCAGTGCATAGTTGTATATCCTAGTTGTAAGTCATTCTAGTTCTCCTATGTGGGACACCACCACAGCATGGCTTGATGAGCAATGCACAGGCCTGCACCCAGGATCTGAACTAGCGAAGCCTGCGCCACCAAAGCAGAGCACGGGAACTTAACCACTTGGCCACGGGGCCAGCCCCAGGAATAATTCCTTGTTAATTGTTTAAAGTAGTTTTTCCTCGTTTAACTCCTACTTTGTAATGATCTTCCTTACTAACCTTTAGAGGAGGGGAAGAGAAGAAAAAATATCCTGGCTGTAGCTCAAGACACAAGGACAGACAGCCAGTCAAGGATTTTCCCTCTTAAGACTATCGTGTGTGTAAGAACTGATTACACAACATTTCTCCTCCAAGGTTACCAAAGTTAAAAATAAAGAACATAGGGGCTGGCTCAGTGGCATGGTGGTTGAGTTTGTATGCTCCATGTCATTGTCCTGGGGTTTGCTGGTTCTGATCCTGAGTGTGGACCTAGCAACACTTGTCAAGCCACGCTGGCAGCGTCCCACATAAAATAGAGGAAGATTGGCACAGATGTGAGCTCAGTGAAATCTTCCTCATCAAAAAATAAATAAATAGGGGCCAGCCCCGTGGTGCAGCAGTTAAGTGCGCACATTCCGCTTCTTGGCAGGCTGGGGTTCGCCGGTTCGGATCCCGGGTGCAGACGTGGCACTGCTTGGCAAGCCATGCTGTGACAGGTATCCCACATATAAAGTAGAGGAAGATGGGCATGGATGTTAGCTCAGGGCCAGGCTTCCTCAGCAAAAAGACGAGGACTGGCAGTAGTTAGGTCAGGGCTAATCTTCCTCAAAAAAATAAATAAAACAGTGTATTAAAATAAATAAATAAATAAATAAAAGTAAAGAACATGTTTTACAGCTCTTTAAGAGAGTTCTCTCTGTTGCTAGTCTGCACAAGCACTCGATCATCTTGTTAACTATAAAAGTTGATAAGATCTTTGAATATAGTTTATTAGCATGATATTCTTTACAGGAAAATAGATGTTTTTTCTGATAGGGTTTAATCCTTTGGCTTCAAAGCAGTTTAGATTGGGCAAGGGAGTGAGGTGAACCCATCTAAAATATATTCACTAACCTTTTTGAGCAGTCAAAAGAAAAAAACAGCTTCCCAGTAGCTTGGGCTCTGGGAAGGTAAGCTCAGAGGATGGGCAATGGGCACTTAGAGTCTGCCCCAGGCAAGACTGGGGGAGCTGGAGGGGAGTATAGTAGTTATGGGTGCCCCAGGAAGGGATGGGTGAACCCACCTCCCCCAGATTCAGAAGAAAAATCTATTGTTCCAATGTTTTTAGTTTTAAATATAAAACTGGGGAAAAAGTTTCATTTATTTAAATAGCTGAACATAAATCAGAAAGCTTTATAAAAGCAGGTTCAAAGTACAGCAATATATTTCAGCACATTTTGAGACTGTCTTCATAGATAGCGAAGTTACTTGGGTTTGAAAAACAGAATCAACAGCAGCCCGTAATGCTTTACAAGCTCAACTTCTTACCATCATACTGCAGAAATCCATTTTCATCTGTCTCTATCTCAGATTCTGGCTGGAAAAATAATAAAGTACCCATCAAAACTGTGAGTGCAGAAATAATACAACTATAGAATGAAGAGGCGATAAACTTTTAAGAAATGCTTTGGATGATGATGGTTAATAAAATCAAAGACCAGCACCAAATAAGTGGTGCCATCTAGTGGATAAGTGACACTACTGCACTGAGCCTCGCCCTTTACTACAAAAGCTGCAACACTCAGCAAAGGCTTTTTGGAAGTAATTCAATCAACTTTGCTACCAGAGCTTTTCTGTGTTAAATAAATTATCTAAGAAGTTTTTTAGATACCTTGAAGAAATCATCCTGAGATATGACAGTGCAGTTTGGGAGATGTTTCTGCAAATTCTTAGCCAGTGTTGTCTTCCCACCATTTGTCACACTGAACCAAAAAAAAAAGAAAACTTGCAAACACCACGAAGGAAGATGTATTAAAAAACATAAAACATTTTTAAATGAGCTTAGAAAAATGATATTTAAAACAATATGTAATATCTAAGAAAAAATTATTTCTTTCATATATAATGCTTTGTCTGTTGGCAAGACCATAGGATAAGAAAATCTGATGTAATAAATAAGAAATAAGCTGGGAAGAATGGAAGAGAAAGGTACTACTGGGCAAATGAACGGGGTAATACTAAGACTTAAAAATACAGCTATCGTGTTGGAAGTGAAAGAATTTTTTGTCTATGGCGAAATATTCACAGGGCTCATACACAACACAGAGAATGTGAAGAGCACATGTTGGCACAAGTATATCGAACTGCACAGGGTCATGTGACTTTGTTTCAATGCAGGAGGGGTGGCTTATTGCTAGCCCACCTACTCTGAATTCACATTTCCTCTGGGTGCCTTCTTCTCCCCTAATCTCTCTCCACTCTGGGGCTAAATGGGAGGTCCACTGTAGCTTATCACATCTAGTTAGTTATGTGTTCTTTCTGGCTGGACTGTGACATCGAGGGCAAGGGAGACCCCAACTATCTCCTGTGTATCTAGTTTTCCAGCATCCAGCACCATGCATAGCAGATGGGAGGCACTTCTGTAGTCAGTCATTCAACCCCAGAGTTCTTCTACCTGGGCTGGTGTACTTTCAAAGAGTCTATGGCAGATTTGGGGTGTTTGTGAACTTGAATGGAAAAGAAATTACATCTTTACTTTCACTAAATTCAAACAGAATTTTAGCATTTCCTTTTTATAAACATAAGTCACAAACAACAGTATTTTTAATAGTACCTGTGACTTTGTCACCAAAAGAAATCACGGATGTTTCCATATCATGTTGCAGTTGGGGCAGACGCCTTGAAGTATTACTTACACTCATCATTTCAAATTTATGGCAGTTTTTAGACCCATCCCTGGACGTTGTTATTTTATGAGTTAACAAAGAAGTGTATATATGGCAATGCTACACGTTTGTTTTTTAAAATATTTTTATAACTATATTATCATAACTGGTTTTCTTTGTATTTTATTTTGTTCATTTAAAACCACTACTCTCAGAACTCAAGACTTCACCATCCCATCAAATGTCCACAGCACATGTGCTGTCAAATCGCAGGGGAAGAGTGACCAGATAGGACCATGTTCCAGCCTAGGTTCTGGGGAAGGAAAATGTGTGACTACTTGAGCCATTTCCTCCTTTGTTTACAACACTCAAATAAATGCACAACTCCTGGCCCATTGATTTTTTTATGTGCTAGGCAACAAGAGGGGTCATTGTCTTTGGAACATGGCCGTTGGCCAGGGAGAAGTTAAAAAGGCTGTTTGTAATTACTCAAACAAGTGGAGAATCCAGACTGCAACAGGTAGATATTAATATGCCCATTTCCGGTTGAGGAAACTATGGATTGAAAAGTTGTATACTCATAAAACTTGCCCAAGGGAACACCTAGCAAATAACAGAGATGGATACAAGTCTGACTCTGTCGCCCATGAATCTTATACTTTTTAATATCACGGAACTTTGCAAGAATCTGATGAAGGCTATAAACCCTCCCCGTAGAAAAATGAACATCTTCACACATGCACTAAATTTTCAGGAGGTTCATGGACACCCTGAATCCTTTAGAACCCCTCCTATTCCTGGTAGTGTCACTCAAATAATCTCTTCATAGGGCAGCAAGCGGTGAGTATGCGAGAAAGATACAACACAGTGAGTTTGGAGGAAGGAAGAAAGGCAGGAAGTGCAGCTGAGGCTGGCAGGGGCTTCACAGAGGCAGCAGCGGCACTAAAATGAGATGCTGGAAGAGACAGGCAAGAGGAGGCTGTCTTAGGGAGTTATGGGTAGTACCTGATGCCCATGGCAGGCTTCTAGACAGAGGGTGCTGTATGGGAACATTGAGAAGAGGGGAATTTTACTCACATGCACGCAGAATGAAAGTCGGACTGGATCCTTTAGCGGACTTGGCAGTTGCTTCCCCAAGACCACCCCTTTTTGAGGTCTGTTTGGGACTGACTCCATTCTCGACTCCACAGCAGGGCCCCACTGGCCTAAACCAATCAAGGTCATCCCATCCCTTTGCCACAGTGACTGTAGGTATATGACACAGCTGGTCCAGTTAAAGGGAGACCCATGACCTAGGGGAAGAGAAGCACTTTTTCTTCCCCTAGTGATAGGCTAAGAACAAGCACGACGTCCCAGGAGCTGCTGGGAGCTCCTTGTGACCAAAAAAGTAGAGCCAATTCTAGGATGAATCCAAATGGAGGAAGACACAGAGAAGAGATGGAGAGAAACCAAGTCTTTGGTGACACCACTGAGCTCCTGTATCAAACCTTTCCTGCAGCCTGCATGCTCCTAAAGCTAATACATTTTTTTTTCACTTTATGGTTGGTTTTCATATATCAGGAAATTCAGATTTCATTCTAGATAATTGGAAACCACAAATATTGCTCATCAGGTGAAAGAATAATTTAAAAATTTTGTATGAAGATTAAACTGGTAGAAGTACGTAGGAAAGATTAAGAGGGGAAGCCTGGAATTAGGGAAAGAGGGCCTGAATTAGGATGGTGGCTGTGGATGTGGAAAGGAAGGGGTGGACAAAAGAAGCAATGCAGAGAAAAACTCAACTTTGGTTCTGATTAGACGGGAGCGAGACAAGGCAGAGTTCTGACATTTAATTCATTTGATTTTACTTCTGATTACTTATTATAGTAACATGATACAATAATACAATGATCTGCCCCAAATTACAAACTTTTAATTTCAATAGTCTCAAATATTTTATTAACTGGACCACACATAACGTGAATGTACTCAGAAGCAAGATGAACATAATACAGTAGAAAAACAAATAACGTCCTTTTGTGTTGTTGTTGATGCCTTATTTGTGTGCCCACCTCTGGTACCACAAGTAGGGTGACCACGTAATTTAGGATACTTTTGAGGGAGAGGGGCAAACGATTAGTAATGATGTCAGGGCAACAAGGACTAGCTCAAGATATAAGGTCATCCTAAGCATGGGGAAAAAGGAGTGGAGGTGAGGCGGTCCTTATTCCACATGTCCAAAGCTGGGCATAACAGGAAAGAAATGAGATTTTCTCCTATGTCACACTGGAGGAGCAGCCATACGGGGGACAATAAATCACCCCAAACCAAGGTAACATCTGATCAGGCCTTGCCTCTGGTGTCAGCTCCAGAAAATAAATGGTAAAGTAAGCAAACTTGTCTACTGACTCTCCTGTTGCTGTTTTTAGCAAACTTTCCCATCTCCTGTCGGCATTTACGTAGCCAAGGCTCCACTGTTTTCCACCGACAGTGGCCGGCTCTCTCCTCCAGGACTCAGGAATCCTTCTCACTGCTTCTCCTTCCCCCCCCACGGCCACAGGAGAACACCCTTTAGACATCCTGAGTATCTCGACCAGCTGTTTGTAGCAAAATTACTCACCCACTGATTCCAATGACAAATGTTTTCATAATTAGCTTTGAAAGTCACGTCTTCCTAAAATATCCTAAAATTAAAAAAAAAAAAAATCAAATGCTTATCATTTAGATGTCCAAAGAGGTAAAAGAAACAGTCCTAAAGTAGGAGGGCCCGCTGAGGTGGAAAGATGACCATGACTTCTGGGTTACCCCACCCTGGGGCACCCACATGCCGTGGAGGAGCTTCATGTACTGGCTTCTCCCCGCCACACTCTCCCACTAAGTGCCAACAGCTGGTACATGCTGAGGGCCTGTAAGAAAAGCCAGGGGAACTGAAAGGGGCCCCAGGGCCAAGCACACACCCTTGAAGATCTCTCTTCAAGGGTGTGGGAGAGTTGCTAGGCCACAAAGCACATTACAGTTTCAGGCTCCCCTTAGTTTAGCCAGGGCGCCTCTCCCTTGCAAGATTCAATTATCCAGAGATGACCATTCCCCCCATGGCAGGAAAGTCACAGAGCTGGCCTCTCTGCCCTCCTGAAATGGGGAAAGACACTGCTGGCCAGAGGCAAGAGGAATTTAATTCTCTCTAAGGGCACTATTTCCTCACCCAAAAGCCTAGGTCTAGGGCCAGAGTAGACAAACTTATTCAGAAATGGGCCAGAGAGCAAATATTTGTGGCTTTGTGGGGCAAGAGGTGGTCAAGGTTATTATATAGGTACTTAACGTTACAAGAGAGAAAAATTTCCACAAATTTTTTGATGAAAGTCAAGACATAATAATAATTGAGTACAATTTTTTTCATAATGCACATCTACTAACGAGAAGAGTAGAATTCCTTATTGATGGGGAGAACATCTCCCTTATTGGATTTCAAAGTTAGTGTTCTCTATCATGAAAGGGACGGCAAAGGTTCAGGCAGAGGGCCAGGTTTTAGCCATGGGCCAGTGTTTGCTGACCCCTGCTCTAGAGGGTGGGGGGCAGTTTCGCACTTGGCCCCCACAGGTTCACCAAAGCAGTCCTGTGGGTATTCCAGTGGATCATTTCCATCTCTTTAAGTGAAAAGGTGAAGCTCAGCTGCAGGAAACCTTAGAACAGCAGTTCCCGAAGGTGGCCTGTGACTGACACTGCTCTTCATGGCTGACTGACCCGGTTGGGTGGTCAGGGACCCCAGTCTGTACCACCTGGGGTGAGCGGTGGCTGAGCTGGAGGCTCCCAACCATCCTCGCAATTCCTACCCCTGCCCTGTGCCCAGGCTCCCCCTGGTGGCAGGGGGTGGGGAGAAGAGCCTGGTGGAGAGAGCACTGTTCTTTGGCTTCTTCTCACTTTATCCAGAATATTCCAAATCCAATTGTTTAAGGCTCAGTTCCACTTTCATTAACAAGCCTACGTGAGATAAGACTTCAGTAACGACTGTAATAAAAATAAAATAGAACAAGACGGACATCTGTGTTTCACTGTTGACTGTCTATCTCCATCCAACTTACCAAAGTGGATTAAGGAACAACTGCATACGAACAGTCTGCTAATATAAATTTTTACATTGTAACTTTTCTTCTTCTGAATTTTATCTTACCTATTCTTCTTTTCAATACGTCAGTGCAAGACTGCCAACTACCTTTTCTGGGAAGGGAAAGGCTGCCCTTTATCCTGAGATGGTATCTTTCTTACTTTTTTGGTGATAAATGTCCTTTCTCCTATGAAATTATGTTGGCAGTAGATAGCAGATTGATGTTCTCCCTTGCCCCCCGCAAAAGAAAATCATAAAATACTGTCATTCCTTACCCTCCCTCTCCCCCAGCTTATTTTTGGATAGTTTGTCAGAGCACAAACTCTCAAGCCTGGAGAAGCGCAGCCTTAGTGATCACTTAGCCCACGCCTTCATTTTGCAGAAGTCGAAACTGGCCCAGACAACATAGTGACTTGCCCAGGGTCACCCACGGAGAAGATGGAAAAGCCAGAAACGAAACTAAACCAAGCAGGTTAACTTCTTTCCCCTTTCCAAGCTGCTAAAAAGCACTTTATTGCCAGGAGCAAAGAAAGGATGTTGCACATGTGCTGGCTTAATTGTGAGGCTCTCGTGTATAACTGATGTCATTTTTATTGATGTATTATTGATGGGGTGTATATTTGCTGTGCACACTGAATGGCAAGTGCTGGTCCCCTGCGTTTCTTGCCACATCTGTGCGTGAGAATATTGTTTCAATTACATAGCATGTAAATAAGTTTCATTTATTATTGAATATGTTTCAATTACATAGCAAGTAAGTGTGGCACTGGAAATAGGCTTGAGGGGGTTATTTAGGTAGAAACTCTTGGAATTGAGAAACCAGGAGTGAGGAAAGGTCAAGAACCTACTTAGGAAATCCCTTGGGCTTAAGAGGGGACTCCCACAGTCAAATGCAAATTTTTACCAAAACAGGAATTCTCAGCTTTATATTAATCAGCAGTCTCAGCCTGTCCAAGACAGTGTTTGGGTAAATGTTGGGCACAGGTCCATTAGCAATGAACAGGTGACAGTGTGGTGGGAGGGCTGGGAACTGGGAGAAGCAGAAGCAAGAGACTGGGCTGAGGGGCTGGGGTGAGGGTAGGCGTAGCAATCCCAGAAGCCATTTATTTCAAAAACAGTGTTGGACGCACAAGGCAGCTTCTGGTGAACTCCAAGTTCAGGCTGTAATTTCACTGCCTGATGCCCTCTTTAAGAACTACTTTAAAATCACATTTAAAAAGCTTGCAATTAAGAGTTGCCAGGCTCCAAACACAGCAGCAGCAGACCCCATGAAGCGAACACAAGCTTGACTAACTACAAACCGTAAATCACTGCAGGTCTCTGGAGGGACAACCATGTGGACTTTCCAGCCTCATCAATCCAGGGCTTCTGATTACTAGGAACAGACACCGCCTCCAATCACGTGGGATATTTATGTACTTTATTCTCCCAATAATTGAAAAGCTTTCCTCAACAGCAGAGAGTATTATGCACAGCGAGACAACAGACTAAGATCGCCAAGAGCAAACTCAAAAGGAGTAATTTCAAATTTTGTAATACTTTTTTTACCCTAAGTAAAATATGTTGTGTCCTTTTTTCATAACTTGCGTGCTTACTAAATTTATTTCACTACTAAACATGGTGCATTTTAGATTCTAAACTGCAAGATGGCCAGAGGTGGCACATGCAGAATCAGCAGGTTATAAGGAAGACTGCAACTCCCTAATACAAACGGATGACAACTTGTTAACAAAATATTGTGCTTTTCAATGCGTCTAAAGAGAAGTCGTATTTTTTAAAGAGTGACATGTTTTCAGACTTCTCACTCACTTATTTTATTCAATAGATATTTTGAATATCTTCTTCCATGCCGCAGGGAAGTCTTTTCCTCTTGTCGCTTAAACTTTGCTCCCTTTTGGTAAACAGAAATCTCCCAAGGCTGGAGTTTCTGAATATGAAATCCATGCCCTTTCTCTTGGGATCACTCGACCTTTCACTAACCCCTATCAGAAACTTTGAAGCTTCACTTTACGTAGACTCTCAGGTAAAATCTTTTCTTTTCCATTTTTCTTACCCCCAACATACAACTGGTTTCTAACACTGGCTGTGCTCACGCACGCTGCCTTTCTCGCACGCTCCAGTCTCTGCCTCCCACGGGCGAGTCAAGCTGCTGGGTCAGGGGTCGGCAAACTTCTTCCGTGAAGCGCCAGACAGTAAATGTTTTCAGCTTTGGGGACAGCCGCTCAACTGTTGTGAAATGAAACCGGCCACAGACAATACATATGCAAATGAGCGTGGCTGTGTTCTAATAAAACTTTATGGACACTGAAATTGGAATTTTATGTAATTTTCACGTGCCACAAAATACTCTTCTTTCAATTTATCTTCGGCCATATAAAAATGTAAAAACTAGGGTCGTAACGCAACGTAAAAACGCAACTAGGGTCGGCTCCAGCGCAGGAACCCTCTGGAAGCAGCACCTCCAGGCCCCAGCGAGGCTGCGCGGCGCAGGGGTCAGGCAGGTACTCACCGGGCGCCAGGGCGAGTGCTCACAAGCAAAGGGGCAGAGGCGATGGCCGAGCGCGCGCCTGTCACTAACTCGCCGCAAGCCCCAAAGCTGGCTAATTGAGTGGCCCACCTCCTTTGGCCCCCCGCCCCTCCCGGGTCGGAGGCGGCCCAAGTAGAGGGCGCACCCGAGGGTCCCGTTCCACCCGGGCGGGACGCAGCGCCCGCTGCAGCACCCCGGAAAGGGCGAGCCGGGACGGGACTCTGGGGAGCGCGGCCCGGCGCGCGCCGCTGCAGCCTCCAGCCCTTCCTCGTCGGGGGCGCGCGCGGCCGGGGCGGCCCCGGAGCACGCGTGCGGCGTCCCTGCTCCACTCCGGCTGGTTCCGTCGCCGCGCGCGCCGCCGTGCGCGCCGCCCGCGCTCCCGCCGCGCCGAAGCTGCCAGCCCGGGAGCCAATGAGCGCTCGGCGAGGCGGCGGCCACTTCCTCGTCGGCCCGGGAGCGCGCTCGGGGCGGCTAGGGCGGCCGCGGGGCGGGGCGGGGCGCTGCGCCGGGCGGCTGTGCCTGCGTCCGCTGGTCCGGCAGCCAGGGGTGGGCGCTGGTCCCTGAAGGCGCTCCACGGAAGACGAGACAAAAAGAAACTTCGGGGCGCACGGAGTGCCAGCTGGCGAGGCCTTGGGTCGGTTTTTCGTGCGTGGTCTTTGGGTTCAGCCGCTCCAGGAAGCGAGATGTCGAAGCCGCCACCCAAACCGGTCAAACCAGGTAAGGAAGGTGCTCCCCGGGTCCCCTGGCCGCCTCGGTGCCCTGCGCTTCCTCTGCCACTTGGCAGGACAGACCAGGCACGTACCCAGCCCGAGCCACTCTTTCGAGATCCGATCCACCAGGATGGGAGTTGTTAGCTTTGTTGCATTCGCTACAGGGAAGGGATCGTTTTGGATAGCAAGAGGATTTCGAGGATTTTTTAAAATTTTATTTTTAAAGAGGAGTCACCCTCGGTTTTGCAACATTGTCATTCGCTGCAGCTTTCCAGCGGGTGTGATGGCTACGTCCCATTGAAGCTTTCCTGGAAGACAGAACCACTGATCTCTTTAAAAAAAAAAAATTTAAAAAAATATGTCTTGAAATGTTCGGTCTTTTAGCCACTTCCTCTTTTATTTCACTGTGTGTCACTGTCAAGTTAGAGTTCTTGACCGGCCAGCGCGAACGGGAAGTGCGCTTTTTGCAGGGTGGGGTGGGTGAGCGAGTCTCCTCTGGGACTTTTGAGAGGAGCCGCGTTTGAAATTGACCTCGGAATCTTGGGAAAAGCATTTAGAGAACTTTGTACTTGTGCTCGTGGCGAGAAGAATCTAGGCTGCGGCCGAGTAATCTCGGCTATTACTATTCGGAAGTGTCACTTTATCATTGCAATACAAGTCCTTTGCCTCCGCTCCCGCCAATGAATTTGGCGTGCTGAACTGGGGAGGGTGAGAATACCAAGTTCCTCAAAGCAGTTTTCTTGGCCTATAGTCCTTGTTCATTTTTGAGTCTATTCTTAGCATAATTTCTGTGATGTGGAGAAAGGAGAATTTAAAAGGGACTGGCGTATTTCAGTTCAATACTGCGACAAACTCCTTCGTGCGTTCATTTGGTAGGTGATTATGGGAAACCTAGGAAATGAAACATAATTGGCTCTGGTATACTCTTCGATTTTTTTCTTCCAAACTCATGTAAATTCAGTATAGCGCAGGCTGAAATTTCTCCGTTTATGTCAGATTTCGAAGTAACCTTGATTGCAAGAGGGTAAAATTTCAGTAATTTTTTTCTTGACTTTCCTTAACTTTAGTCAAGCACTATAACTTTCATGATTATCTAGTTTTCTTTCTTTGCCATCATACGTGGCAGTTTCAAGTCATTTTACTAGAAAATTATGTACATACTCATATATGTGGCATAGTGATTCACTGACGACTTAAATTTTGGTGGGGTGGGGTGGCTGTGAAGGAGGTTGCTGGGACTTTGGCTCTGCTGTGAGCAGAGATGGGGCGGGGCTAGAATTGGGCTCTGTGCTTCTCTAGATGTGGAATCTGATGAGGAATTTGCACTTTAAGTGCTTATGTAGGAGGTGGCAGCTTTCTAAACTCATGTAAATCAGGACCTCAAGTATCCAACAAAGCCGAGTTGTTTTTTGATAGCTAAACAAAGTACTTGAAAGAAGGTCCTGAGAAGCTGGCTGTGAGGGTGTTTTTTTTAACTCTCTAGACAGTAAGTGATGTCTGTGCTGCAGCTGGAGGGACAGTGGCAGTGATGTGTGTGTTCTCATGCACACACGGGTGTGGTTTAGCGATCATACTGATAACTACTTGGAGATCCACTCCCAGGAACCATTTTTGTCTGATACCACAGCTTTCTCCTTCTCTTCAGCGAAGCAGAAAGCAAATGGTTGAACATGACCACTGTTGAGAGAGAGCTTTGACTCCACACTAGTTTATAAATGAGATCCAAACTCAAATAAGGTCACCACAGAGATTGGTTTGTTAGTTTACTAGTTTATAATGAGAAATATTACTTTGAATCAGACTTGACCCTTTGTGTGGCCTGGCTTAATTGAAAACAAAAGCGTCCTATTATAGTATTGGCCCACATTTCCTGTGTTCCCGGCGCTGATCTGATCACGTTTACATGTATTAACTCGTTTACTTCTCACAACAACCCTAAGAGGTCAGTATCATCATTGTTCCCATTGCGCAGGTGGGGGAAATGGAGGAAAGCACAGAAAGGTTTAGTAACTTGCCCACGGTCAGCAGCTGGATGGGGAGGAGTGGGCAGAACTAGAACCCAAGTAGTCTGGCTCCAGAGTCTGGGCTCTAACCACAGAGTTATTCTGCCTTACATCTCAGGGCACCATTCACATGCATGGTCATGTGTATTCAGAGCTGGTGTGCAGGAAGTGGAAAGGAAAGCGCCTCTGGTCCTCAGACTTTCTTGTCACAAATGCACATAGAAGTCACCCCCAGTTGGTGGCACCAAGGCGAGTGGTGCTCTGTTTTACTGTCTTGTCCTGCAGGCAAGCCAATGGGTAAAAACGTCTGAAGCAAGCCTGGAATTGGGGGTGGGGGCACGGTATTTAATTTTTGGTTTTTTGGTTTGTTTATACCCTGCCTCATCCCAAATGAGAGTAAAAAAAAAAAGATAAAGAGAGCAGGGTCACATAGAGGGAGGGAAGAAGAAGAAGAAACTAGAGGAAAAGTTAGCTTATAGGCATGCATGTTGTAAGGTCCTCCAGAGGTTCTAAAGGATCCCAGGCTTCGTAAAATTAAAATGTATTGCTTGCTCTGAGAAGTTATTTAATGGCACTGAGATGTGAGATGAACTTCTCCCATGGGTTCTCTGAAAATGTTGCAGTGGACTGGACATCTCTCCACAAAATACAAGTGGGACTTCACAGTGGTGCTCCCTAAAGCTTCCTGCAAACAAGATCCAGGCAAGACAGCATGGCTGACTTCCATAGGCAGTGCTAAAAGGAGGGGAGCAGGTGAGGAGAAAGGACTTCATGAGAGATTTTAGTAGCGAGGGACGTTAAGTTATAATGTGGGCTAATGTATCTATTGGGATGATTGGCATATGCCTCATGTAGGGACCAGTTTTGAAAGGAAGGTCCTTTCAAAGTCCTGGTCAGATGCTGACATGAGAACCCTGCCACTTCATGTCCTTTTGCACTTTCCTGAGGTTGTACCAGGATTTGGGTTTGTGGCCACATCCAATATTCATTTGCTAAGCAGTTCTTAATATATGCAGCTAATATTGTAGGCTCTGTGCTAGACGCTGGGGTTCCAATGAACAAGAAAATAAGGTCTTGTCCTTGAAGGTCTTGAGTCTAATGGAGGAGATTTATGTATCTACAGATAATAGCTTAGGTTGTCCTATATCTACAGTTGGATGGCCAGTCTTACCATTTCGTTAAAAAAATCTTGTAATTAAAGATAAAAGTAATGTATTTTTTATTACGGAAAATTTAGAAAATATAGAACAGCAAAACAATGCATATATAGATAAAAATATAAAAATCATTCCTGTTTATCATCTAGTGATAACCACTGTTTTCTCTCAGGTTTTTTTTTTTTTTCCCGTCTTTTTCAAATCCATTTCATTCAAAAAAGAAAATACAAACAATTATTCTCAGAACAGTGTCTCAGTTTCGGTTTTAAGTGTCTTGCTGTTGTTGGCATATGTTTCCTACTGTCTGTATAGTATCGCCTCCGCTCTGCTTGAAGAACAATTCTGTCACATTTCCTTGCTTACTGATTTTTTTCTCTGGGGTCACTTTTGGCCACTCAGGGTCCGTCTTTGAAACTCTCCCCTCTCGTTGTTACATGTGCCACCATGGTACTCACTCTGCTAAAATGTGTCACATTCCATGGGCTTTAGCTCGTTCTTTATGGGACCCTCTTTTCCTACTGAACCCTTGCAGCCTCTCAATTTTATGCGTATAACATTTTTGTTCCTTTCATCCACCCTCTGAAGCCTTGAGGTTCCATTAGGGTGAACCCGCCTGGCTTGTCAGGTTGTTCTTACAAAGACTTTTTAAAAGGAGACTTCTTTCTGAGACTTGGTGTAAAGATGGGCCAGAGGATATTGAATGTGATTTGGACTAGAATCATCTCACCCTCAGCCAGTGTGATAACCCTCCTCTGTCACTGGAAGCCTGATGCTCTCCCTTGCTCAGTTCTTTTAAATGACTTCTTGATTTAGGTGGTGGAAGTAACGTGGCATAAATATTTCACGTGTCTTATGAAAATAAATTCGTGGGACTTTGAAGAAGCAAATGTCAGCGTTTTGGGTTCTTTTGCATTCACAGTAAAAACATCATAAACTTCAAAGATGTGGCACATGCTGTTTGTGTAACACCTTTGAGAGGAAAAAGGTCTTCATCTAAAATAATCTGAACCTTAGTGTAGTTTTTTCCCTCTGAATAAATGAATTAGTTTAAGGTGAGAGTGTGGGATTGGATTGAAATAGGCACATGAGTGGTTTCTATAAACTTG